TCTAGTCCTGGCTGCTCCACTTCTGATCCAGCTCTCTGCTATGGCCTGGGAAAGCAGTAGAAGATGGCCCAAGTCCTTGGGCCCCTGTACCCACATGGGAGACCCAGAAGAGGCTCCTGGCTCCTGGCTCCTGGCTTTGGATTGGCGCAGCTCCGGCTATTGAGGCCATCTGGGGAGTGAACCATCGGATGGAAGACCATTCTCTCTCTCTCTCTCGCTCTCTGCCTCTCCTCTCTCTGTTTAACTCTGACTTTTGAATAAGTAAATAAATAAATATTAAAAAAAAGTGTCTTCTTCAACAACAATGAAGTGACATTAGAGATCAACAGCACAAGTAAAACTGGAAAATTCACAAATTTCTAGAAACTAAATCACATACTCTTAAATAACCAGTCAATCAAAGATGAAATCAGAGGAGAAATGACAAAATACCAAGACTGAATGAAAATGAAAGCACAACATAGCCAAACTTAATCAGACATAGAAAAAAAGAGTGCTAAGGTGGAAACTTACAGCTATAAGCACTAACGTTAAAAAATGAAAGCTCTCAGGGCAAGTGTTTGGTACAACAGTTAAGATAATCCATATCCCATATCCTAGTGACTGGGTTCGAATCTCTGCCCAGCTGTTTCCAGCTTGGTGTGATACTGGGAGGCAACAGATGATGGCTCCAGTACTTACATTCTTGCCACCCATAAAGGAGACCCAGATGGAGTTCAGGGCTCCTGGCTTTGGTGTGGCCCAGCCTCAACCATTACAGGCATTTGAGGAGCCAACCATGGAAAACCTCTGTCAGTGGCCGGCACTATGGTATAGGAGGGTAGGCAGCAGCCTGAGCACTGGCATTCCACATGGGCGCTGGTTCACCTCCTGGCTGCTCCACTTAGATCCAGCTCACTGCTAATCTACCTGAGAAAGCAGTGGAGGATGGCTGCTGCACCCATGGAGGATGGTCCCTGCACCCATGTGGAGGACCCGGAAGAAACTCCTGGCTTCTGCTTCGGCCTACCCCAGCCCTGGCTGTTGTGGCCATTTGGGGGGTGAACCAGCAGATGGAAGATCTCTCTATCTCTGTCTCTGTCTCTGTCTCTCCATCTGTCTTTCTGTAACTCTGCCTTTCAAGTAAATAAATATCTTTTTCTAAAAAAAGGTCTCTATCCTTCTGCCTTTCAAATAAATAAAAATTAAAATAAGAAAGATCCCAAATCACTAAGCTAACTTCATAACTTACAAAACTAGAAAAATAATCTAAACCCAAAACTTGCAGAAAAAAGTAAATAATAAGAGCATAGATAAATTAAAATAATAGAGAAAATCAATGGAGAAAAAGATAATTCTTTGAAAATATATAAAAATGACAAACATTTGGGGAACTAGATTGAGAAACCAAATAGAGAAGACTCAAATTAGTAAAATCAGAAATGAATATGGGGACATAAAGAGTAATTTTAGAGAAATAAAAAGAATATTGAAAGTACTGAGAACCATTTTATTGCAACAAATTGGATAATTTATATGAAATGGATAGATTCCTAGAAACACAAAACATATCAAGATTAAAGCATGAAGCAACAGAAAATAGATGTTAGACTAGTAAGGAGATTCAATCAGTAATCAAAAATTTCCTGACCAAGAAAAGCCCTTCTCCTGAAGGCTTCATGGGTGAATTCCACCAAACATTCAACATCAATCCTCAGCAAACTTCTTCAAGAGATTGAACAAGGGGGAGAACTTCCTAACTCATTCCAGAAAGCCTGTATCACTCTGAGACACGCTGTAGTGTGGATGAATCTGGAGGACATTAGGCTAACGAAATGTCAACCACAAAAAGACAGACACTGTATGGTCCTCCAGAAGTGAGACTCCTAGAGTGGTCAGAATCTATGTAGACAGAAAGCGGAATGGTGGTTTCCAAAGGCTGGGAGAAAGGGGAATGGGGAGTTTTTATTTAATGTGTATAGAGTCTGGCTTTACAAGATGAGAAGTGTTATGGAGATGGGCTGATGGTTGCACAACACTATGGAGGTACTTACAGACACTAGTAAAATGTATTTCTTCATGATAAAAGGAATATGAAAAAGAGGCCAATAAGTCCTATCTGACCCTGCTGGGTCTCAAAACTGTGTCTATGGAAGCTCTGAGGGAAGGATGAAGTGACTTTAGAGTGGTAGCATTTGAGACTCCATTATACAACGATGTAACCTTGCAATCTCATTTGAAAACTGGAAGACAGTTTTTTTTTTTTAACTGGAAACTCTAATGTTCTTTCCATTATACCAAGAAGTATTATCCATATTTTATTAACTTTGAATAAAATGGACATTAAATACATAAATATATGTAAATATATTCATTTCGATGAGAAAAGTGTACAAAACAAAAGTGTAGCCCAATATATAAGAAGCCCACCTTGGCCAAAACTGACTGCGATGTTGAAGTTCAAGCTGCTCAGTTGCTGTGGGTGACTCAGTACCTGGCAGAGGACTCAGGGAGGAAGACAATGGACATTCTCTGGACATCAGAGTCATATGGAGGTTGAAAATCTGGCATTTTTAATGATGGGATTTAGCTGATTTCATTCCTATGAATTAAACTGTAATTTTATAAAAGCCAGATTTATTTTTGTTTTGTTTAAAGTTTGCTTATTCTTGTTTATTTGAAAGACAGAAAAGGAGAAAGAGAATCTTTCATCTACTGGTTCACTCCCCAAATGCCTGCAACTGCTGGGACTTGGGCAGGTCAAAGCCAGGAGCTAGAAACTCTATTCTGATCTCCCATGTGGGTAGCAGGGATGTAAATACTTGGGACATCATCTGCTGCTTCCCAGAGCATACAATAGCAGGTAGCTGGATCAGAAGCAGAACCGGGACTTGATCTCAAGTACTCAAAAATGGGATGTAGGCATCTCAACCACTGGCTTAACCAACTGTGCCACAACACCTACCCCTAAACCAGTAATTTCAACACCACTGATGTGATCAGGTGATTGTTTTCCTTCTACAGGGTGAGAATACTTTGGAATAAGACCAGAGAGTAAATATTTTAGGTTTTGCAAACCATACAATCTATTGCAACTACTTAACTCTGTCCCTATAGTGCAAAACCAGGCATAGGCAACAGGTGAATAAAGAGGAAGCTGAGGCACAACTTTATTAACAAAACAAGCATTGGCCAGATTTGGGTCAAGGGCCATAGTTTGCTGAATCCTTGCTATAGAATAACAGAAAGACATCATCAAATCCTGGGCCTCCTCACATTCCCTGCAGTACACAACGTATTGGTAGCCTCTATTAGAATTTACTGTAGCTCCAATCCTACACAGAAACAAATTTTAGAAAGTGCTAAGGCTGTAGAAACCATCCAGTCAGGTGACCTTCTGGGCAGACACTTCATATCCCAACAAGATTATCTAAAACCTTACATTATTCTGAAAGCATTCCTTGTCAGATGAAACAATTTAAAGTGTAACAACCAAGTTTTGAAAATACTTGTAAGTTGTTATTATCCAGAATAAAATTACTGATGTTTTGATGGGAAAGAGTGAAAAGTGCTTTCTAGCTCCTAGAAATGCTTTGCAAAAATGCAACCCAATGCTGGTTTCTTATTTATGTGATCACACAGGAACATAACTAAAGTCAACTCATTGCCAAAGTTTGTTGCTGTTCTAAGACTAAAATCACCCCTCATCCAACTTCTCATTCTGTTTATGACTCTCTCTCACACCCAAACATGTCTGGAAATACAAGGGAGCTGATAAGAGGCCTTCAGAAGGGTGACTTTTAACTTTGGGTCTCCATTTGTCCATACTTGATTAAATGCTCTCAGCCTGGAAGCTGCCTGCTTTACTGTGTGGAATAGGCTAGAATGGACCCTAGGAGAAATAAGCATTTCATTCCTAGTACCATTTGCAAGAATTTTTAGACACTTGGTCAACTCTGAGCAGGGTTTCACAGATCTGGGTTCAGGAATACTGGACCAAAATTTTAACCCCTTTGAGATCCTGAATCTCAGTTTTCCTATGTATAAAATATAACAACATTTGTTTCATAGGATCAATAAATAGCAATTATCCAATAGTATCAATAAATGTTAGTTTCTCTCACTTCTTCTCTATGCTTGAGTGAGCCCCAAATTACATTGCAAATTACAAATTACAATGCATAGTCTGCATTGTTTTGGTTGGAGGTTCTACGTTACTCTCAAGTATCCCACGGTGGATGGCCTCTGTGTGTACTGTATGTGTAGACACACATAGAAGGCGTGGGAGCGTCTCTGGACAAGGGCTATAAACAGGGAAATACTGATGGCAGGAACATCGGCTAGAAAGACAGCACACTCCCCGGAGTTGCTCAGAGTTCGCAAATTCACTTGGTTTATTTCTTCATTTGAAAAGAAGCCTTCAAGTATGGTTTAAGCAATTAGAACGGAAACGACTTGAGAGCAGAGACCTTGATGGTTTCATCAATCAGGGCCTACAACCACTCTTGGGCACTTGGTGAGTGCTCAATTAATATTTATCTTCTCAGCTAACGACTGGACGGACTTAGATCCAGTTTACTTTTACAACATCTGTGAGACGCTTCTGGAGCCTCGCATGGGGAAGAAGCAGGGATTCCAAGGAGAAGGAGCTTTAACATCGGACTGGGATGTGCATTTGCACATTGCTTACCTTGAGCACACAATTTATAAAATGATAATTCAACCCCCCTGATATGAAAATTGAACTGAAATAAGCCAGGGGAAAGTCCAGTGTCCATTCTAGGCCAGTTTCTGACCAGATGCCCTGCCTTGAATCTGTGCAGAGAGACTTCCCTTTCTTTCACTTCCCTTTTGGAAAGAGAACTCCTGTTATTGCTCACAACTTACGGAGCATGGTGCTAGGTACAATGAGACAAAGAGAAGTGATATTTCCCCTGGAGACCTGAAAGTGTCCTCATGTCTTCCATATTCTGTGCAAGTGACAGAGAACACAGCACTCACTTCTGAGGTAGTTCACATACCTGAAAACATCATCATGTGTTGAAAGTTCCAGGGGATCTTCTGCTTTCGGCCCAGATTCAGGAGGAAGGAGAGGGGGTATATGTTGCAGGCTCTGGCAATAAAAATCGCTAGCTAGAGATAAGCACAGGGAAACATTGAGGAAAATGGTGCTGAACGAGGCTGGGAGTGAGTCATGGAGCTTCTCTCTGTTGCGACCCAGAAAACAAGGATACCCATGTCAGTTCACGTGACCCAGAAAACAAGGATACTCATGTCAACTCACATACGTCCAGCTTCCTCCCAAAACTCATCATATAATGTCAACCCTATTCCAGAAATAATACAGAACTCTGCCTTTCTTTGAACATATATGGGATTTCCAGTTGTTAAGCCGGATACCATTTCAATCACTGTAAATTTTCTCATCACATTTATGTTGCTGATGGCTGACTCCGGCCTCAGCTCTGCTGTGAAATGCGAGGCAGACACCGTTAGATGCTGTGGCCTTATCTTGCGGAGCAGCACTTTGGGGGGGGGGGTAAATGTACTTCTGCTCGCGATCACCATCTCTTGTTCCACCACTTCACACTTTACACTCCCTGAATCTAGCAAGCTTGGCTCACTCTCTCCTTTTAGTGGATTTAATCTTGAGAGGAATTGCCTGTCTAAATGTATAATACAACTGCTGCTTTAAGAGGCATTTTACATAAAACTAAATGAAAATATTGGTGGGATCCATCTCTCCTTTTCACTGCCTTTGACTTCTTCCATGATGGACTGTTGTTTGTTCTCAGGGGGATGGAGTTGTTTGGGCAGAGAGTAGAGCCCAGCTGAATGCCCACTGAGGCAAATGCAGGTGCTTGTTGGAAGCAGGGCTCAGAGCGAGGGACCAGCAATCCTGGCTGCTACCAAGAGCTGCTTGTGAGAGAGGCGGCTGCCCATTTTTCAAGTGTGAATAAGGGCAACAGTTGCAGACTGTCCTTGGGGACATTTCTAACAGCTCAAAATCCTTTCAGACAGACACCCATGTCCACTGGGAATGCCTCCTGCTCCAGGCCTACAGCTAGGGAAAGTGAGGTCTATATTTTATCTGTCCTCTTAGGGAAAATAAAAGTACTCATTAAAATAAACTTACAAGTGTACAATGCTTAGGATGTTGAAAGCAAGCCTATCACAATAATTTCATTGGATCTTTTCTTTGTCGATCCTGTTTTCAGAGTCTTCATTGGAAACCATATTGCAATAAGAACATTTCCAGAGCCTAATAATCCTGGCTGCCTTCTGATATCATCTAGTGTGGATTAAATAGATTTTATATAAAGAATGAATTGATGTAATTTTTGTAATGGTTTCATAATTTTAGCTGAACATATTTATAATACTTTAAAACATCATTTTGTTTTAGTTTTCCCTTTTATTTTCCTCAGTCTTTTCCAAACATCTTATCCTGAACCATAAGTATTTAATAAAGGCCTTAAATTCCGTAGGGTACTTTTCTCCCCTTACTTGAAATTACGTATCTGCCTTGAGTTTGAGCCTAGCAGTGAAACTGGGGAAATTTAACAGTTGAACAGCATAATCAGTAAAAGTAAGCAGTTTGTTCTCTTCTCTCATCACCCCATGTTTTATATTTCAAAGGATACAAAGGCTCCCAGTATAAAAAGAGCATTAAAGATATGATTCTGGAACGTGAACAGAGCCAGGCCCATGTAGCAGAAGATGACGTTCTCAGCCAAAAAGTTCATAAATTCAAACAACTGAAAAACAAAACAGAAACAAAAAACAAACAAACAAAAACACCCATTAATTATGACTCAGGTTTGTGTCCACTTAAGTTCTTACAACTATATTTGCTGGCTGGCTGGTCCCTTCTTTATGTAGGAGAGGCATCCTGTTGGCCTTGTTCTCAGTCTCTGGAGTGGTGCAGGGCTGCCTGACCTGCCAGGTCAGCTGACTCTACCCTGGCTCTTTACGACATGGAAGATGTCCAAGCCACGTCTGCATCCCATTGTTTCCAACTGCAAGGCTGCTAGAGATACCATATTAACCAGCAGGAGCCTTCCACGGAACCATTCCTATTAAGATGACAAAATAGTCTTTCTTAAAGAAACTGAAGCTCAGCGATTTTTTTAAGGTGCAGTGGAGTAAATGATGCAAAGATTATTTAGCCTCTTCTGCACATCATCCAGTAGATGCACTTGAATTTCCATGCCCTGAAGAACTCAATTTTAAATGAAGCTTAAGTTCAATAATACCCTCAGGCAGAAAGGAGGGACAGACTTGAAAACTTGGAAACGTGGAATAAGGATGAATGTTGATTGTCTTTTAACTTTAGAGTGATCAGTATATTTCAAACCCCAGACAATGAGACTCATTAAATTGACTGATGTAGGTATATCCATTAAATGTCTACAGTTTCTAGCTGGTAAAAAGAAAATGATTAATCCCGGAGATGAGTTTATGCAGTAAGAACACAATAGATACATCAAATTCAGTCAGAAGAATGGAGGAGTAACACGCTATGCTGAGAGAGGCTCCCAAGAGTTATTCTTAGACCATTAACCAAACACTTTAAGTTGAACATGAAAAACGTTCTCCAACTTCCAGATTTAAAGTAAAAGCGAAATGCGTCCAGGAGCGGCAACAAAGGCAAATTTGGAAGAGACTAGATTTTATGATCCAGACTTTTCATTTGGAAGTTTCTGAAACTTCATTCCTGGCCTGACATAAATAACGGTCAGGTAGACGTCTCCGGAGGCCTTTCTCTTGACTTTTTAAGGGCTCATTATTTTTTTACGTAATGTATTTACAGCCCCACAAATAATGCCCAATGCCTGTTCCCTGACAGTTGACATAAAGAAAAGCAGAATCTTGTCGGAAACATTATTTAAAACCAGTAATAGAGAGAAAGGATTGAGAAAGACATGGCTCCTTGGCACAAGATGCCTGTTCTGTGGAGGCAGCCACCGTGGGTTCTCCTGAGCTCTTGTATTACTCCCTAGCCCAGCAGACGTGCGCCCACCCTGTCACCCAAAGGAGCACAGAAGACAGGAGAGGGGCTAGCACAGGAGACAGGGCACACTCGTCTACTTGGTATTTTCACTTTTTCAAAAAGTGAAATTTGGCTACTGTCTTAATCTGTTTGGGTTGCCAAACTGGGTAGTTTAAATAGCAAAGTTCATCTCTCACAGTTCTGGAGACTTGGAATTCCAAGGTCAAGGTGCCAGCTGATTCACCGCTGGTGAGGTTCTTTTTCTTGGTTGGCAAATGGCCACCTACTTGTGTATCGTCACGTGGAGCAATGAGATCATCTCTCTAGTGTCTTTGTAAGTACACCAACCTCATTCACCAGGGTTCCAACCTCATGATCCAACTACTTCCCAAAGGCCTCCCCTCCAAATACCATCAGATTGTAGATAAGGGCTTTGACACATGAACTTCGGGTGAACACAAACATTTAGTCCTTAGCAGCTGCAAAGTTTGTAACATTAATAAACAAATGTCAAGGTTAAATTCACAGGGCCTCGTCTTCTCCTGCACCCATTCCAGGGATATGTTACTCTAGAGGAGACACGTTGCTGCCTGTTATCCATTCAGCCTTTAGGATCCACCTTGTCTCCCACTTTCAGCCATGGATTGATTCCTCCATGGATCAGATATGGATCATACAATTCAATGTTACACCACTCAATGCATTTCTCTAGGCACTGTGTTCCATTCAAAAATGGATGTGACACATTTGGAGCCAAGTAAATTCAATGAGGCCTTTGCAGGGAATGTTAGGACAAAGATTTTCACCTTTTCCTTATATGAGAAATCAGAAGGACTCCAGGCAGGGAGCTGGTAACAGTCTTCTTATGATCTCGGGGGAAATGGCCGAGTAAGAAGCCAGGGCCTGATAACATTATATAATTCTCCCTACCCAACCTCTCTCAGAGTAGAATCTACCCTGGGGCTTCTGAATTAAAGGCATCAGGAGATTACTCTTTGATTTGAGGTGCGGTTCAGTTCTATCATTCAAAATCATACGTACTCCTTTCAAATCCTGCACTAGTTGAACAAATAAAAAACAAATCTTTTATGCCTCACACAGAGTATAAACAAAAGAATGTAGGGCCAACTTTTTTACTCTTCAGACATGGAAAAAGTCTGTTATTCTTGCCCACTATCACCACCAATCTTCATCTATTCATTACCTTAAAGAGAAGAAAAGTACCTTGGAAGAATCATTTTTTTAGTTGGTTTTTGAGAAGTGAGGGGAATTTTTACTATAGATTTTACATGGTTCACTGTAGCTTTAAATATTTGTCTCAGAAATTTGTTTCCTTTGGACACTCCAGGTTTTAACTTGATTTATTAACTTAGCTCATTAAAATGTAACATTGCCCAATATTCCAAGTAACTGTGTACAAACATATGGTAGAAAAGTTCAATTTGCATTTTCTTAAAAGATTTATTTATTTATCTGAAAGAGTTACAGAGAGAGAGAGAGAGAGACAGAGACAGAGACAGAGACCAAGACAGAGACAAAGAGAGGGAGAGATCTTCCATCTGCTGATTCACTCCCTAGATGTCTGCAATGGCCAAGGCTAGGCTGAGCCAGGCCAAAGCCAGGATCCAGGAACTTCATCTGGGTCTCCCACAAGGGTATTAGGGGCTCAAACAGTTGGGCCATCCACCGTTTTTTCCCAAGCTATTAGCAGGGAGCTGGCTTGGAACTGGAGCAGTGGGACACAAACTGGTACCCATATGGGATGCTGGCATCTCAGATGGTGGCTTTACCTGATGAACCACAACACCTGCCCCTCAATTTTCATTTTAGGGCCATTTTTGGACCTACTCTTTTTTCCTATGGTTATCCATTCATGTATAAATACCACACTCTTAATTCAGCTCCATAATGCATTCTAGCATTTCATAGATCTGATCCCTTACCTCACATTATTGTGAATTTAACTGGTTATTTTGCATATTTAAAAATGTTTTTATTGATGTTTAATTCCACAGAAAAGTACATAAATCAAATGTTTATACAGTAAGATAAAAAATGTTATTACCAATTCCTAGAATGGCTCTTGGACCCCTTCCCAGTCACACTTCCCATCAGAAATCAGTTTTTCTTGCTTCCTATTTTTATATGAGTAGAATAAGGCAATATGTACTCTTTCTTATTTGTCACCCTTTACTTACTTGACATTATGTTTGTGGGTTTCTTCATGTTGTATCTATGAAGATGTAATTCATCTTTTTGTTGTTGTTGCTTGTACGACTATATCCCCATTTATTTATCCACAGCACTATTCATGGACACTTGTGTTGTTTCGAGGTTGGCTACAATGCATCTTCCTGCTATAAATGCATATTTGTCCTTGAATAGAATTGTTGGGACACAGTGTCACGCACTTTTCCAGAGTGGTGGTACCAACTGGCACTCTCGTCTGTATGTCATTGGTGATTTTAGTTGATTCACATTCTTGCCAAAATTTGGTTTTGTTGACCATTTTCTAATTCACACTTTTCTTTCTTCCTTTCTTTCTTCAGATTTATTTATTTATTTGAAAGTCAGAGTTGCACACACACACACACACACAGAAAGAAAGAGAGAGAGAGAGAGAGAGAGAGAGAGAGAGAGAGAGAGGTCTTCCATCCAATGGTTCACTCCCCAATTGGCTGCAATGACCGGAGCTGCGCCAATCTGAAGCCAGGAGCCAGGAGCTTCTTCTGGGTCTCTCACATGGGTGCAGGGGCCCAAGGACTTGGGCCATCTTCTACTGCTTTCCCAGGCCATAGCAGAGAGATAGATCGGAAGTGGAGCGGCCGGGTCTCGAACCGCCTCCCATATGGGATTCGGGCGCTTCAGGTCAGGGTGTCAACCTGCTGTGCCACAGCACTGGCCCCCACACTTTTGTTTCTTGACATCAGCATTTGAACTTAGGAATCAGATGGTCAAGTTCTACTGGTATTTTAGTTGGAATTTCATTGAAGTTGTTGACTAATTTGGGTAAAATGTACATCCTTCCAGAATTGAAGCTTTCAGTCCATGTGTGTCAGATATCCTTACAACTGTTTTCATTTTCTTTAATTTCTCTCAGTGATTTCTGCATAAATAGTTTGCAAATCTTTGTTTAAATTTGATCCCAGGACTGGTGTTTCTGGCAATCATAAACTGTACTCTTTTCAAAGTACATTTTCTAATTGCTTGTTACTAGACTTACATACACAATTGATTTTTTAAAAATTGATCTTGTGTCCAAGGCTTTGTTAAGTTCATTTTGTAATTTGTTTCCTTTAGATAATTCATGGTTTTAATTTGATTTATTCACTTAGCTCATTAAAATCTAACATTGCCCAATATTCCAAGTAACTGTGTACAAATACATGGTACAAAAGTTCAATTGCAGTTCTTTAAAGATTTATTTATTTATTTGAAAGTCAGAGTTACAAAGAGAGAGAGAGACAGACAGACAGACAGAGACAGAGACAAAGAGAGGGAGAGGTCTTCCATCTGCTGATTCACGCCTTAGATGGCTGCAATGGCCAGGGCTGAGCCAGGCCAAGGCCAGAATCCAGGAACTTCATCTGGGTCTCCCTCATGGGTAGCAGGGGCTCAAACACTTGGGCCAGCTGCTGCTTTATCAGTGGGTTCCTTTCGATTTTTACAGTAATATTGTTTGCAAGTGTGGTTTTCCAGTCATTAACCATTTAGCACCTTTTGTTTGTTTCATTGCTCTCCTTAGGACCTGCAGCACAGTATAGA